GAATAGGCGTATAACTACAACCCCAATTCTAAAAAAAAAAAAAAAATAAAAAGTTGGGATGCTGTGTAAAATTTACATAAAAACAGAATGCAATGATTTGCAAATCTCATAACCCCAATTTTTGGAGACGTACTGCCACCAATTTCAAAATTACTTTTTTTTCCCTTAAAATGGTACATTTTCTCAGTTTAAACCTTTTGATATGTTTTCTATTTTCTGTTACAAATAAAATATGGGTATTTTCTCCTTTCTGCTTCCCTTAATTAACCCTCTTTTGCTTCCTCTTCTACTCCATTTGCTTCTTCCTCTGCCCCTTGTCCTTTTCTTCACTTTTTATGCTCTTTACAATTTTTCCTAGCTTCTCTTCTATTGCACTTGTCTTTTTGTTGGCCAGTTCCTCCTTCAGCAACATCCTACTGATAGTATTCTCACAATAATAGATAATACTACTGTTTACTGACACCTACTGTACCTTTTTGGCACAGCAAGGCAGATTTAGGCAGAGTAGTTTCGTGCACTGTCAGATATCACCAACAGATATCTGAGGACCTCTCTGGTTGAAGCTTGCAGGTGTTAGGCCCTTAAGAATGGTTCTGGCTGCAAGGGTTCAAAAAGCTCACCTGCTTCAAGAACGGTTATCTGGAGTCTCACCAAGGGGATGCCAGGAAATTGCATCACAATAACCACAAGGCACAGAAGGTAGCAGGTGCCTTTGAAGGACACTAAGCATCCAGGTTTTTGTTAGGACAGGGAACAGAAGCTGGTTCTGGCCAACCATATAGGTTAGGAAGGCCTTCTAGAATGGAGGGATGCTGAGGAATACTTGTAATGGAAGGAAGTGCCAGACACAGGGGATTAGCCTGTGGGCAAAGAGAGGTGTTATAAGCACCCAAACACCAGGGAGGACAACTACCCAATTACCCATCTGGATCTACAAACAGCCTACTACTTATACCTTCATACCAAAGACTTTGTAAAAGAGTTAGCTGTTTTCTGGCTTTGTTCCCCTTGGGCTGAGTGAGAGTTATGCTGCAAAGGCCTATGAGATACTGATGCTGATGAAGATGAAAAAGAAAGGTGGGATTCCTCCAACCCCTTTGCAGACCTCCTGCGCAGAGGCATTGCTAATCAGTGTCAAGCGCACAAAGACAATGTCCCTCAGAGGCTAATAAAGTCAGATACGCCTTGAACTCAGCATCCCAACTATGCAGCCAGAATACTCCGTACAGACATCAGTCCCATGAAAACCACAGACTTATACGCTTGTAGTAAGCCATCACAACTAAAAATACAAGGCTCAGGGCATTTGCTCTAGCTGCTCTATGAAACTGGGCCTATCCCAGTGGTTGAGGGATCCCTTTTAAGGCAATCTACTTACATACATGGTTTGAGAGACCAAGTTTACCACCCACAGAGGGCCAATCTAATCAATTCAAACTGGGATTTAGGGAGGAACTCTGTCTGTCAGTTGAACCCCAAAAGGTGAGTACACCCTCAAACCAGTCTAGTGCTATTGCTCTTAGGATGGATCACCGGTGTATAGATAGTGGGAACAAACCACCTTTCAAATGGAAAACATTTCAACACACTATCACGTGGGCCTACGACCCTTCAGGATGCTTCCATTCCGCATAATGGAATGAATAACATAGCAGATGTAATGCAAAAGTCTTTGCAACTATATGAACTCTGAAAAACCAAAGGCTGGAACAGCAAGCTGATCTTGAAATACAGGGTAATATGCACCGCATCAAAAAGTTCCTAAACAACCCCTGTAAATCCAAGTCAACGGCAGGAGACTGTGGTGCCTCAAAAACAGTGTCTTTAGAGACAGATTCTTGGGACACTGAATCAAAGATAGTGTTAGGGGAGACAGGTCCAGTTTGATTTAAGGCCTCAGGGGGTCAGCTAGCTAGTCCTGAGTAGGCATGGAAGTCCCTGTGGACATAGGAAAGGATTTGGACCCACCCAAATGAGATTAGGAGGTCTCTGATGATTGCAACTCTACGACAATAGGGATCCCAGGTTACATGTGTTGGTTTCTTCTGGGACTACCCAGAAAAGCATCCAAAAACTCCTAGTAGAGTATAGGTCGAAGTCACCCATGGCAGGGACTGCCCACTGTGTCTTCACGAAGATGTGTTGTTTCTGCCCAGCATTATGAAACTAAACCCCGCAGTGAGGCAAGGCCTCAGGTACTCACAAACCTGGACAGCAAGTGCTGATGAGGGTTTTTGGTGGCTGGATGTGACTAGGTCATTGTAGACAGGCACTGAAAATAGACTGAAGACTGGAGATCCACATGGTGCTTTAGAGGCAGAAGCAGTCAGTTCGTGCTCTCTTCAGGCTGATCGGTAGTAAAAACAGTGCAGAGCATGCATGTGTGTAGTTCCCTCCCCCCACCAGTGGATGATGTCATTATACAGTCCTGTGTTGCCATGTTGTGTGTATTTTTTTTTCTTTTTAATATGGGATATCATTTTTAACCACCCTCTAGAACAGCCTTTCTTAGCTAGGGTTCCTCCAGAGATTGTTAGGGGTCATTAAGCAATGAGGAACTGTCTCTCAGATAAATACCCACTGACACCAATTATGTTTTAGCTATCTGTAAGGGTGGGATTCCTTCCAATGTCAACAAGTGTAGGAATCATTCTTCCCACCGATCATTACACTAATGTACTGTAGATAGCAGGGGTTTCCTGAGACCTGAAAATTAAAGGTTTCAACATTTTGAAATGTTGAGAAAGACTGCTCTAGAAGCTAAAGAGTTGTCTGGAGCTTGGTTTCCTCTAATTAAATGCTAATTAACTTGCCTACTAGCCTGAAAAGGGCTGGTTAAACAGAAAGTGGTGTTGGCAGAAAATGGAGAAAGGTAAGAAGGGAGAACACATACAGCCATTTGTTTAGGAAGACCACACAGATCTGAAAACAGAAATAAGGAGTGAACAGCGATGCCTGTGTTCCCTGACCAAACAAGAGCCATCACAGAAGCATGCCTCAATGATCAGAACTACTTTCTCATGTATGCATATCCATGGTTAAGTTCTCCTGTGCTTTTTAAAATATTTGATTTTTTTTCTGCACACCTATTTTACATCTTTAATCCAGTAAAGATACCCTTTTTCCACCACATTTTTGTATATATACCTTTAGTTTGAAGATTGATGTACAACCAGAAGCAAATATTTATTCAAAGCAAAACAGTCCCTCAGGCTTAACTCCTACCGTGATAAAACTGGTGGTGGTGGGAATTTTACCCACTGGTGCAGACAGTGAGGTGGCTGACAGTGCTTCAGCCTGAACTGACTTTCCTGGTGTCCACATGGCAGCACACATGTGATAGTAGTTCCACCTGTATCCGTCCACAGGACCAGTGCTGTAAAGAGTTGACGTGCTCACAACAGTCCATTCCCTCAAAACATACTAAGGATAGCTCACTTGCAAACAACAGAATAATTTAGCTAGTCAAAACAACTATACCCAACAAGGGTAGAAGGCAACTATGCAACTCATGGATTATAATGCTAATTCAAAGAGCTTACTAAATAGCTAATCTTGAGCCACCATAAATAATTTCAGAACATTCAACCAGCACATTTTGAAATCGTGGGCACCTTACACAGTGGTGTTGCCCAAGATGATAGACAGGACAGATACGATATGCTTAAGCTTCCCACCCTTGTAGCGAGTTATTGGTCACATGTATACTGCCATGTTGGCATCAGGAAAATTGTATCAAATACTTACTGTCATTTTCCTTTCCTGGTGCCAATCCCGGGCAGCAAACTAAACCCACCCAGTGTGTTCCTAGCAATGTACAGGGAATGGGCTGTAGTGTGGGCATCAACTCTTTATATCTATGCTCTGGTCCTGTTGGCAAATGTAAACGTGGCTACTACCGCATGTATTCTGCAAATGATTGGCACCACGAAAGGAAAATTATAGTAAATATTTGATATAATTTTCTGTTTTCTTATAATGTGAGACCTCAAAGACTGGGTCACACCTGGGGCTGTGCCATGGCTTTGGGCATGGAAAGTGTTAAATGCCTAACACAATAAGAATTACCTCATATATCTACATAGCAGCATTATTTCTGCTGAATACACTGAATATACAATTGTCCTAGGAAAAATTATCTTGTGTTGCATTAAACTCAGCACTGACTGCAGTGTTTAGAGGTTGTAGAACGCTGTGACTTCTACTTTGTTGCAAAGGAGTTGGCACTTCAGGCCTTAATCATAGATACTTGTTGGATCACAGGCACCACTTATAAATACTTCCCACACCCAGTTGTGAGGGGAGGGGTTACAAATCCTCATGCGTGCAGACACAAAGCATATGTAACCCTTTATCCATGCGATCTACTGGAAAAGTACATATGGTATGGTGTGTGACACAAATCCATTGGAAAATATGTGCTACAAAACACAACGCTACTTAAAAATCAAATTGACACTCCAATGTTGGTTCAAACTAAGAGACACCCTGGTGCACAATTTAAAAATCCAACATACTTCTCGTTCGACCTGAAAGAAGAAAACTGCTGCAAAAGTGACTGCAGAGCTCGATCTCAGTCTTCATGGGACATTCCCTAGTTTTATAATAAGCAATGTTCTGAATTGACCAACCTTGGTACCCTGTTTTCTTTCTATAGTGCATTCAGGCTCAAACAGAATATCATGGAGCAATTTCCAAGGTCTGATAAGTGGTGGAATCTTGGAGCTGTCCTACAGCCTTCTCCCTATACTGTGAGGAATTAAGCACCATAAAAGCTCCAACTTTTTCTCCTTCCCTTATTATCAGATATGTGATGTGTACACGTTGGGAAAATAAAGCGTTGTTACATAGGGATACCAAAATGTAATACCTCAAATATATATATATATATATATATATTAAGTTTTATTTATTTTAGTATAAAATAGTAAAGCACTTAATTATTTACACAGACCTATCACTGAAAATAATTCTCAAGTGTAATTTTTATCATTTTCTGACTACACTTTACATTCTTGTAATGCTTCATCAAGATGTACAAGTTTAGCACTTTCTTCCCAAAGTTTCTTTGCAATCTCCTCATTCAAAGCTTGTGGAGCAGGCTCTTTTTCTTTTAGTGCATTGAAATATTTTCCAGATGTGCCTTGGAGATCTTCAGCTATAGCAAGGTAGATGCTGGACTGTGCTGCCTGTCTTGGTGTTTTTATCAAAAACCAAAATAGGGGACCTGCAACAATAAATACTTTATTAGCACTAATAACTACCAGTTATTTACCAAGTTCAGTGTAGCTATGTAGTAACAGTGCAGATGGCAAAATCTGGCTCAAGCTGGCCATACACTGAGCAAATTTTGGTTGGTTCCCAATAAACCGAATGAAATTCGTTGAATGAGTGGTCCTGTCATCACCACTCCACTTGACATGAGAAAAATCAAAGTAGATCACCATATCCCCTCTATGGAAACCTTTCGATATCTTCAGCTACTACATTTATTGAACCTTTGGTGAGAAACACTGATTCTCCAAAAACTCTGACTTTTAGTTGGCATGTAACTTTCATGCAACTACTAAGGGTACTCTATCCATGATTTATAGGTCCATTCGCAATCACCTAGCGGAGCCGCTGCCCCTGTACTGTGCTCAGTGAGCCCAAGACTTGTGGGCACCCTTATCACAGGACTGGACACATATTTGGCAGGCCACCTCGAAGTGCTCCCAGAACATTCAGGCATTAGAGATCTCCTATGAAGTTCTCACTCGCTGGTACTTCACCCCAGCGCGCATAGCTAAATATGTTCTGGGATATAATCCTCTCTGTTTTTGCAAGTGCAAGTATACAGGAAAAATGTACCATATTGGTGGTCCTGTCTGGTGGAAAAGAGTATATAACATCAAAACTATAAAAAGAGAGCAGCATGGGATCCTTGTCAGTGAGTATCGGCAGTGGTGTTATTAGGATAACACCACTGCCTATGCTCACTGGCAATTCTGTGTTGTTCTCACCCACTCTCAGGCTGGATGTCAAGTACCTTAGATGTAAGTGTGCTGTTTTTATTGTTGAATAAATCTTTCTGATCATATTAACGAGGATCCCGCATAAATACCTCGTTACATGTTAACTGGCCTATATTTGAAGTTTGCTGGTACCATTTAATTGCCATCTGAAGCGGAATGCTAAAGTGCGCTAACTGGTTTGTGGATTTTTTTGTACTTCTATTTAGCATATATAATATTTACTCAGTCATGCATATCATTCTGAGGAAGAATCTTAGCAAAGCGCTCCTTGAGAGACCGTTAAAGGATATTCCTTTGCAGATCTCAGACATAAAATAAGTTCTTTTTTTATGGCAACAAGACAAACTTTAGCATATGCCTGAAAATAACTAGGTTCTCCACTTTGATAAAGTTAAGCCTAGAACCCAGGGCATTTTCATTAACAAAAATCTGATGGTGGTACTGGAGGACAAACATGATAGGTATATCTATATAAAAGCAGCCCTATATATTAGGCAGCCCTGGCTCAATTACCAGCCGCTATCTACATTCACTGCCCGGATGCCCCACCTTTTAAAGAGCCAGCCGGACCCCTGGCATGACCTTCCTACTCCCTTCTTTTTTTACCTTAATCACTCCCCCACTTTTTTTTCTCTTTTTCCCCTGCTCTTGGGAGGACCTTTTTTCCTGTTTCTGACATTGAAGGTTGCTTTTTTACTTGGCACAGCCTGGCCTTATTTTTATGGTCCTATACCTCATCAGCATTCCTAGAATGTGACCTTTTCTTTTTATATAGCATACACACATTGAGGGTTGTACGCTTGTCAAGGCAATATACATGTTGAGGCTTAGGCTTCAGAGTTATGAGCGAATTTATCATATTGAAATAATTGTTATTTTGACATATTGCTGTCACTACGGGGACCCATGTGAGGGTCCAAGTCTTTATCTCACTTTATGGATACTGTCTTTTTTGCTGCCTACGAGCCTACACACTTGTATGTCTGTTATTGATGTATCAATAAAGTTTTTTTGGTACAAGAAAAATCAAAGGAGATTGGCAGAAAACTGCTGGCTAAACAGCAGCTGCATTCATTCCGATGCAGGCACTGTTCAGGTATTCCAACATCTGCTAGTGCCAGCTTTCAGAATACAATAGCCACAGTGGGAGATTCGTTCATCCACGCAGTTTTATGGGTGTATGGCCAGCTTTAAACTATTGGGATGAACACAAGTGTTTCAGAGGAAATGTTTATCTCACCCAGGACTGTACTAGAAAATGCAGACTTGTGCATCCCTGTATGTCTGCCGAGTTCTGTGTCTGCAACACCTGGATGCAGAGAGTTAGCAGTCACCCCTGTTCCTATGAAAAAAAAAAAAATGGAAATTTACTTTTTTAAATATACATCCTTAATAAACATAACATTGAACAACACTACTAATAGCTGCCTTCCCCAGATTACTAAATTAAAAAAGCCAATCAATAATGAAACCAGAATGGTACAGCACTCAAAATTAAACACTTGTTTACAAGTTATATGTATTATTACTCCATAAAGTGCAATTTACTCAATGCTTCCCCAATCTAAAGTGCAGATAAACATTGCACTTCATGGAGTAATAGTACACATATTATGATCCTTTTAAGAGTGTTTAATATCGAAACCAATTTGGTTTCATAAAATTGAACACATTTTTAAACATTGTAACGCTCTAGCAATTGAATATTGAATTACAGGGGTGGGGCTTTGCACTGGGAGGAGTGCAAAGCCCCACCCCTGGACATACAAAAAGGCTTAGGTCATGTGAACAGTCTTTGCTTAAAATCCAAGCAGCTGCACAGGACAACTGAGATTGATATTGTACACTTGGGGGTGTGGATAGGGGTTTCCTTTTTATATTTGATCTGATTATGGGATAATAGCATGTAGACTGCCACCTGGCCAATAGTCCCACTTGGCAGTTTGTTTGAGGAAGTACAATGGCCTGCAACTTTTTTTTTTCTCAATAAACATGGAGTTTAGGGCCTCAATCACATGGGCGCTGACACCTGTAGTCTGTGAATGGGCCATGTGTTTATGCGGCTTGAGCCACTTGATGTTGTGTGCAGACAGCTCATTTTACGTCTATAGGGATGCAGCGGCTGCATGCACAGATACTCATCCAAGTTTGCCATGGTGAGAAGCTCCAAATGCACACAGTCTGTACTTAGGGCTGTTCATCCACATGTCTGTGAAATTGGCAGGAGCGGCTGTGTATGTGCAGCTGCTGCATCCCCACAGACCTAAATGGGACCTGGTGGCCCAAACTGCATAAACACATGGCCCATTCATTGTCAGTACCCTTGTGAATTAGGCGTAAATTGAATCCCTCTAAGAAGAGGTATGTTTTGATGATTTCAAAACTTCATGAATAAGGTGATTTTTTTTATGACTGACTCACCTTGTAGCCTTTTTGCCAGTTCATTTGTAAATATAATATTAGCCAGCTTGCTTTGGCAATAAGCTGCTTTTGTGTCATATTTCTTCTTCTCCCAGTTTAAATCCTCAAGGTCGATATCCCCTACTATGTGTGCTAAGGACGAAACATTGATGATGCGGGACTGACCAGAATTCTTCATCTTATCAAGCAGCAGGTTAGTCAGAAGGAAATGACCTATAAAAGTGGTGACAATAAGGTCATATGAGTCAGTAATTGTTTTTGGGTAACGATGTCAATATAAAATAGATAGCTAATGTATAAAGGCTACTCTAATGAGGTTGGAGAATACAGTTTTCTTTACTGCCATTTTTTTTACATGTAATGCCTTTTATGTCTAAAGTTTAGATGTAAACCTTACGTGAACATTTCATTTGCTAAAGCATTGTGTATCATAAAGTGCCTTTTTTTAATTCCTGGCATGGACATCATGCTGTGGAACCTTGATGAACATATTGTAGGCAGGAAGGGGGTGATGGAAGCTATGAATTTAAAAATACTGTAAATTACCCCTGCAATTAATTTAGTGATTGGGTTTATGAATACCTCATAGCTCAGTTTTGCCATTCTGAATATGCATTACTGTTGTTTCACATTATAAAATCATATTTAGCCATCACCCATGAATTATAAAACTTGACTGTTTCAGGAGGACCATACAGGTCCTTAAAGTGGTAGTAAGCTCAGTATTTTTATTTTTTTTAAAGGGCCCAATATATATATTAGCACATTTGGGCAGACTTGCCTGCCAGCGCTGCACTGTCACCACTCCCAGCACTTTCATACTTACACAGTCTTCCTTCCAGGTTCACACTCTCTGGCATTTGAGTGGTCAGGCCGCGATGATGTCACTCCTGTGATTGTGCACAGGAGTCACAATTGCGGTGCGGTGCTCTCTGCATTCTGGGGCTCGCCCAGCATGCCCTGAATGCAGAGTACACTGCGCAACTAGTAAAAGGCACAAGTTTAGTGGATATTCACAGAACTTACAGGTAAGAATTATTATATGCTTACCTATAGGTACAATTTTAAAATTGGAGTTTACTACTTCTCTAAGTAGCAAAGGTATTTAATCAATATTACATAATATTACATAAGAGATACAATTAAAATATTAGCAAAACCTTGAAAATGCACACTGAATATTAAAAGGGATGTAATATCAAACTACAAATCTGATGGAGGCTGTCATTGTCCAGCTCAGAAGATGCATAATTCCTTCACAGCAACAAAGCATCTCTTTGGCGTGAGTGTGACTAGGTGTTTTCCTTGAATTAGAAAAGTCTTAATGACTGATTCCTTTTAAGGTTAGCAAAACTGTTTTGTAAGCTGGTACATCACAGTGTTTCATGGTAGAGTCAAAGCACATATAAATCATATCAAATCAATGTAACGTAAAAATTTCAAAAACTTTACCCAAATGGTTGACGCCAAACTGCATTTCAAACCCATCTTCTGTCTTCCAGAGAGGGCATCTCATTACTGCAGCATTATTAATGAGAATGTCTATGTGTTCCACCTCTAAAGAAAAGAAAAAAGAAAAAGAGATTGCACAAAAATATCATCTTTACAAAGATTAGCTTACAGAAAAATATATAAATGCAAACATGTGTGCATGCCAGTTCCAGGTATTATAACAGAATGAAATCACTTCTCTTTAAAAAATAAACATTTGGTTCTGTTACCAGCATGATGGTCAGACTTATAGCTGATGCATTCATTTTCAGTGCCAGTCTCTTGATGCTCAGAGACAGGGTGAATAATAGTAGCTGGTCAGTGTTGTGTCTCCACTATTCTCTATAGCAAAAAATATATCAAAACTAATCTACTGTAACAGCCACCTCAATACAAGTGGTCAGGAAATATAGTTCAGTGTATCGCCACCTATAGCAGTCTCTGTTAAAGTCAAGCAAGCCTAGCCTACTGGTATGTGGCTGTCTCTGTAATACCATGTTCACTGGCCAAGAAGTACAGGAGGCTAAAGAAAGGAATAAGAAGAGAGTTCCTTTTATTTCAGGGATGCAGTTTTCCACAGAGGATGGCTGAGATTGATGTCTTGCAGGAACATAGTCAGTCAAATGTGTAGATGGGTCAGTTCAGACATAGTCAGAGACATGATCAATATATAGGGTCAGTATACGAGCAAAGGATCAGGTGGCGATGATTAGGGACGATATGACTGCTATGGCGCTAATCAGGGACACTAGAAACCAATTGGTCAGGAGAGTAACAGTAATAACTATCCAAAAATGTGTTTCTTCTTACATCAAGAAAAAACTAAATGTTTGAGTAATACCACCTTTTAGTGTAGACTGTTGTCACATGGACATCTCAAGCTGACCAGCTGAGATTCTTATAGGATTTATTCAGACTTACTTGTGAAATTGGTGCACCATTATTAATAGTCTATTTTACATTGTGTTGTTTTTTTTTGTCATAGTTCTGTCTATTGTTGTGTTTGTTTTTCATAGTATTGCCCTTTGAATGCCTCCTGTATATACATTATGTATTCTTTAGTCTGCAAAGAGCATACATTACAACATATTACCTCTTAGTATGTCCTTTGCAAATTCTTTGATCGACTTTGTTGATGCCAAGTCCAAATGTTTAGCAAACACATTATGATTCAGGGTCTTGCCACGAATTTCTCTTGCAGCATTTTCACACTTGTCCATATCTCTACATGCCATAATTATTCTGCCACCTATACATTAATGACAAAAAACATAAAATATACCTTTTGATTTCTAAGCATGCACACATATAGTATTCAATAAAGGTGAGCAGCTCAACAAGGTGCATAAACTACCAGTATTTTGACAAAAACTTACAGACATGTGTAAATGTCTCTAAAACTGTGTAATTACAAGTGTTCTCTGTGCATTCATGTAAAAAATACACTTCTAAGCATGCACACATATAATATTCAGTGGTGAGCAGCTCAACAAGGTGCAAAATTTCAGTATTTTGACAATTCTATGGACATGTGTGCATGTCTCTCTAAAAACTGTGCTTTCATTAGGACTCGTTTACACCGCAGTCCCCGCTTCAGTGTGCACTTTTGCATGCCCGTTTTCATGCATTTGTAAAGCTTTTGCAGTGTGTGTTTTAGGTGTTAATGTTTTTTTTTACAGAGTTTCATTTATATGCATTGCAGTGCCTTCATGTGTGAAAAGCACAGCAGTCTGTTTTTTTTGTTACTTTTTTTTAACACACCTTAAAGCGGAGCCCCACCCAAAAAGGACATTCCGCTTTAAGCCTTTGTCCCCCACTCCCCATTAAGGATTGGCACTTTTGGTGAGTGGGTCCCCTTATTTGACAGGTACCCCCTCCGCTCCCACTGCAATCGCCGAGACGATCGGAAGTGGAAGTTGTCTCCCCCCTCTCTCCATGTAGTCTTCTGGGACACGTGACTGATCCCAGAAGACTACGCGGCCATCCACAAAGCGCAGAGCTTCTCACGCATGCGCAGTGGGCACCCGGCTGTGAAGCCGCAAGCTGTCACAGCCGGGGGCCCACACTGAAGATGCCAGCACCAGGGAGAGAAGACAGCCAGGGAAACCAGCTGTAGTGAGGACACCGCTGGACTGAGGGAAAGGTAAGTGTCTGTATGTTAAAAGTCAGCAGCTACAGTTTTTTTTTTTTTTTTTTCAGATTTCTGGAACTCCGCTTTAATGGAGTGAAATTGGCTCATTGAAATACATTTATTTCCTTGCATATGCATATTTGTACTGCATTTAGAATTGTGTTCGACTGCATCTAGTCTAAACAAGCCTTCAGATGGAATCTTACCACATCCCAATCAAATTCATCTAAATGTCACTTTCCCATTCAGGTACAAATCCATTTCTGGGTATACAGTAAATATTTCTTTATTGTACATCCCAGGACAACAGGGTAGCTTCATCTCCCTTACAACAGGGTTGTGCTGCCACATTCAGGTGATTAGACACTGGCAAAAAGATTGGAAGCCCCCTCCCAGGCATAACCCCTTTCCATTGGGCAAGGTTCAGTTTTTTTTGCTAGTGTCACATGTCATGGTTATGTTGGTGCAGTGTCTGCACGATAATGTAGCTTCCATCTAGGATTAGGAGACTAGTTTTTTGCAGATCAATTTCCTACAGCTGTTCTATGCTCAGAGAAATGGTACCTGGACCCGTTCTCAGCACCCTGCGAACCGATAGGGTGCCATACAGGTCCAGGGTCGTTATCCCCAGCTCTGCAGTTGAGCCCCAGATTGGTGCTTATTGACTCAGTGACTTCTCACCTGACTTGGACCATGGTTTACAGCCAGGGTCACTATATACACATTCAGCAGGCCATGTCTCCTCAATGGCAGAGAGGAGGGTAGGTAGGGGGTGATGGCTCCGAAATACCTTTTTTAGGTAGGGATGAACCCGGGCACAGCCCCTCATGCAGCCTTCCCCTGGAAGTCAGTATGTATAATGCAGCTTTGACTCCCTCCATCTATCTGGAATCAGTGCAAAATATATTCCCATGGGCAACAAGTTTAAAGGGCTAAAAATAACACCTATGTGGCTTAAGGCCAAAGTTAAAAAAAAGATATAAATAATAAGAAAAGAGCTTTTATTAAATATAAAAATGGAGGAAAGCTATCATTGTTTAAACATTACAAAGAATATAACAAAATATGCAAAAAGGAAATAAAGGCTGCAAAAATTATAAACGAATGACAGATTGCAAAAGATAGCAGGACCAAGCCCAAACAATTCTTCAAATACAGTGGGGCAAAAAAGTATTTAGTCAGCCACCAATTGTGCAAGTTCTCCCACTTAAAAAGATGAGAAAGGCCTGTAATTGGCATCATAGGTAGACCTCAACTATGAGAGACAAAATGAGAAAAAAAATCCAGACAATCACATTGGCTGATTTGGAAAGAATTTATTTGCAAATTACGGTGGAAAATAAGTATTTGGTCAATATCAAAAGTTCATCTCAATACTTTGTTATATATATCCTTTGTTGGCAATGACAGAGGTCAAACGTTTCCTGTAAGTCTTCACAAGGTTATCACACACTGTTCCTGGTATGTTGGCCCATTCCTCCATGCAGATCTCCTCTAGAGCAGTGATGTTTTGGGGCTGTCGCTGGGCAACACGGACTTTCAACTCCCTCCAAAGGTTTTCTATGGGGTTGAGATCTGGAGACTGGCTAGGCCACTCCAGGACCTTGAAATGCTTCTTACGAAGCCACTCCTTCGTTGCCCAGGCGGTATGTTTGGGATCATTGTCATGTTGGAAGACCCAGCCACGTTTCATCTTCAATGCCCTTGCTGATGGAAGGAGGTTTGCACTCAAAATCTCACGATACATGGCCCCATTCATTCTGTCCTGTACATGGATCAGTCGTCCTGGTCCCTTTGCGGAGAAACAGCCCCAAAGCATGATGTTGCCACCCCCATGCTTCACAGTAGGTATGGTGTTCTTTGGATGCAACTCAGCATTCTCTCTCCTCCAAACACGACGAGTTGTGTTTCTACCAAACAATTCTATTTTGGTTTCATCTGACCATATGACATTCTCCCAATCCTCTTCTGGATCATCCAAATGCTCTCTAGCAAACTTCAGACGGGCCCGGACATGTACTGGCTTAAGCAGGGGGACACGTCTGGTACTGCAGGATCTGGGTCCCTGGCGGCGTAGTGTGTTACTGATGGTAGCCTTTGTTACGTTTGTCCCAGCTCTCTGCAGGTCATTCACTAGGTCCCCCCGTGTGGTCCTGGGATTTTTGCTCACCATTCTTGTGATCATTTTGACCCCACGGGGTGAGATCTTGCATGGAGTCCCAGATCAAGGGAGATTATCAGTGGTCTTGTATGTCTTCCATTTTCTAATTATTGCTCCCACAGTTGATTTGTTCACACCAAGCTGCTTGCCTATTGCAGATTCAGTCTACCCAGCCTGGTGCAGGTCTACAATTTTGTTTCTGGTGTCCTTCAACAGCTCTTTGGTCTTCACCATAGTGGAGTTTGGAGTGTGACTGTTTGAGGTTGTGGACAGGTGTCTTTTATACTGATAAGTTCAAACAGGTGCCATTGATACAGGTAATGAGTGCAGGACAGAGGAGCCTCTTAAAGAAGAAGGTACAGGTCTGTGAGAGCCAGAAATCTTGCTTGTTTGTAGGTGACCAAATACTTATTTTCCACCATAATTTGCAAACAAATTCTTTCCAAATCAGCCAATGTGATTGTCTGGATTTTTTTTTCTCATTTTGTCTCTCATAGTTGAGGTCTACCTATGATGCCAATTACAGGCCTCTCTCATCTTTTTAAGTGGGAGAACTTACACAATTGGTGGCTGACTAAATACTTTTTTGCCCCTCTGTATATTAATAATAAAAAGGTCTGGTCCAAGCATGTAGGCCCTTTACAAAATAATCTAGAGTAGGTGACTGGGGACAAAGAGAAGGCAAATTTATTATATACCTTGTTCAGCTGTGTATACAGAGGAGCATGGGGGAGCTCTTGTCCATGATAGGCATGTTATGGACACAGCTCCAGATGATCCACATTGGCTCACAATTGATATGATCCAAAAATATTTGATCAGAATAAAAGGTGAATAAAGCACCTGGACCGGATAGCATACACCCACGGGTGCTAAAAGAATTGAGCTCTGTCATTTCAAAGCCATTGTTTCTAATTTTTAGGGACTCTTTAGAGACTGGCAAAGTATCACTGGATTGGCGTAAGGCCAATGTGGTGCCAATATTTAAAAAGGGGTCAAAATCTTTACCAAGTAATTAAAGATCTGTTAGTTTAACTTCTATAGTTGGGAAGATACTGGAAAGTTTAATAAAAGACCACATAGATGAATTCTTGCTGGAAAAAAATGTTTTATGCAACAGACAGTTTAATGTGAAGTCTACAGGCTTGGAAAAATCTGTATGTTTATAGATAGAAAACTGGCTAAAAGATCATATTCAGCGAGTAGTGGTTAATGATTCATACTCTGAATGGTCTAGGGTTGTCAGTGGTGTACCCCAAGGTTCAGTGTTGGGACCCTTACTTTTTAATAGATTTATAAACGATATAGGGTCTGGGATTAAAAATACCATTTCAGTCTTTGCAGATGACACCAAGCTGTGCAGTGGAATAACGTCCTTACAGGATGGGCAACTATGTGGCAAATGAGGTTTCATGTTGATAAATGTAAGGTTATGCACTTGGGGGCTAAGAATATGCATGCATCATACATACTAGGGGGAGTACAACTGGGGGAATCAATGGTGGAGAAGGATCTGGGGGTTCTGGTAGATCATAAGCTTAATAATGGCATGCAATGCCAAGCTGCGGTTTCTAAAGCAAGCAAAATCCTCTCTTGTATTAAGAGATATAGACTCCAGAGAGAGATATCATATTACCCCTGTATAAATCATTAGTAAAGCCTCATCTGGAATATGCAGTTCAGTTTTGGGCAGCAATTCACAAAAAGAACATTGGGGAACTGGAGAAAGTACAGAGAAGGGCAACCAAACTGATAAGAGGCATGGAGGAGCTCAGCTATGAAGAAAGATTAGAGGAACTGAATTTATTCTCTCTTGAGAAGAGGAGATTAAGGGGGGATATGATCAGTGGTTCATATAGTGAACTCGGTGTAGTTATTCACCCTGAGGTCATCACAGAGGACAAGGGGGCACTCTTTATGTCTGGAGGAAAAGAAATGTAATCTCCAAACACGGAAC